ACAAAGCATGAAAACGCATAAATATTGTGTTTTTTTCAGGCCTAGTCCAATCAAGAGAAGTGATTCCAAGCACTCACCTAGGAAGCGTGACCGGAGCAATTCAAGAGACAGAACAGGCCATCAATGGTATTCTATCTTCATTGTACTCTCGGCGATTTGACATTCTTGTGATTATGTTGGAATCATTTTCTTTTGGTTGTAAAGTAATAGCTTCCCAAACCATCCCGGCTCTCACAAATTCTTGATTTACTGTTTTCCCCTTATAAAATACTTGAGTAAGAGAGAGCAAGGCAGGAAATCATGCACATGTTCTGATTTTTGCAGGCGTATTCGAAGTGAGATAAGCGATGCAAGGAACCGATACACGAGCAAGTTAAGTGACAAAACTCTCGTCCAATTATATTTCATCTTCATTGCACTTACGAAGATAAGTGATATCGTGGCATCCTTATATTGAAATTCATTTTTTCTAGTTAATTTAACCAGCTTCATGCCTTTTTCAATTCTAGATTAAAAAAGCAAAGGAACTTATTTTCCTCTCGGAGACCACTCCATTTTTCATTGACAATTTTCCCTTCATTTAATACTTGAGCAGGTGTGGCCGAAGCAGGAAAAACTTGCAAAAAGCACCTGGTTCACATGCACATGATCGTGGTCACAGCAAGCAACAGAATCACTGTCCAGATCCTGAAACGGAGTTTCCTAGCTTGAGTAAGAGTATGCAAATGCGACTCCGTCTCCCTGGAGATGATGCACAGCCTTAAGATTGGAGTTCTAACTAATTGAATGAGCTATTACAAGCATGAGATTGTCCTGTTGATGATGTACAAACTGTTGAAGATCAATTGCAATTTCCACTTGATCCTAAAGGAAGTTGTAATAATCCCTGATTGAAATATGTTAGCTGAAAATTAGAAGATAGAATTGGACATGTTTCTCAGTGCCACACAGTCAGAACCCTAGCTTTGGCACCTCCAAACCACATTTGAGCCTATGTTAGAACTAAACCCACCCCCTATTTGGATAAGGCTGGGAAAGAGGTACTTTTTGGAACTAAAGTGGAACTTTTCGGCGAAGGAATTACAAGACTTTGGGTCTGAACAATCCAATACAAAACGCAGCAAATGAATTTCTGCTGTCGAGGATAAATCAAGAAATGATGTCTTCTTGATACGTACTTTCCTGTTTCTTGACAGCACATTCATCCTGATACGTACTTTCTTGTTTCTTGACAGCACAATTTTAATATTTTTAAAATATATTCAGAAAATATTTTTATTTTGAGTTTTTTATGAAACAAATTAAAATCAACAACCATCATCGTAAATTCCAAAGACCACTTTGTTTATTTTTTTAAAAAATTGATTATCAACTGTAGCTTTTTATATTTAAAAAAAAAACAGGAAATGAAAATATACCAAAATCAATTAAAATTTTTTTTCTTAGAATGAATTATTAGATTGAGAATTTCAAATTTATACCAAAAACAGGAACTATCAATTTTGAATCATTTTACTATTATTTTTCTAATTTTTTAAATTTATTGATTTTGCTATTGTTTTTTATTAACGGGATTTTGAATATAATATAGGATTTTGTCAAATCTTTAAATCTAAATACTTTTTATAATTTCATGATATTCTAAATGATTTATTATAATTCATCATATTTTTTAAATAGTATGTTTACTATTCATTTGCTTTAGGTTCATGGAATTTGACCCTCCCCTTGAAATATAACAAGACTTCCACAGAATCACTACATACGACTCTCTACTCCAGATGCAAAATGAGCCAAGAGGAGGCTTGGTGATCATCATTCACAGATAGCCCATCAAAGAAAAAGTATACTGTTCTCCTGATTGCAGACAGCATTCAGGTTAGATTCTCACCATCTCCAAACCATTAAAAGGCAGAAAACAAAAGGAAATAAAACAACTTGCTAGATTCATATTCAGAAAGGATGCGTCTTTTGCAATGGACCTTTGCAGTGAGGTTTATGACAATATTACCTTTTCCAGTAATAGAAATTTATGAAACGGTTATCAGGAATACCCATTGAGTAAATCCCATCATTTCTTGCATGCCAAGTGCAGTTTTTTGTTTTATAGCTGCACTTATAAAGAAGATCATCCTCGTACCAAAAGATGTCGTAGCTTCCACCATGATTCTTACCCCAGTTGAAATTGCACCAAAATAGTGTGGTTCCCCAGAAATTCACCTTAAAAGTGAAGTGGAAGTTGGCTTCGACTGGTAATGCATGCCCGCCAAGATCATCATGCTTTGATTTACAACGTAAACTGAGGGTATCTTTGTTTAAATCGTTGAAAATGTAGACATAAACCTTTCTCCGATTTTAATACTAAAACAGGAATTATTCATTGCAGAATGCAGATTGGTCGTGAGATCCAAGGTTTGATTTACCATTGCCATATCTGTTGGTGGAAAGTAGAAGAGACGGGGCTTGAATTTTTGGGATCCATAGAGGT